ATGCAGTTGTCAACTGAAACTCCACATTTTCAAAACAGTTAACACACAGCCCTAAACAGCTGCACTCATGGTCAAAATGACACATTTTGCTTGCAAAAGGCACATATCATGTCAAAACATTTAACATATGCAACAAAAGCTAGTTTTACCTTCAAACAACACAACTTGCAAACAAGTATATGAGCTCTTTCAATTAATCATTACACAATGCACAACAAAATACAAAATACAGAACTCAAAATGCACCACCATTGCTTGCCATTGTAGCTTATAGCCAATGGCATTTGTTGTCTCTATTTGGGCTGTCAAATTCGCCTTTTTGCAAAGAATTGGATCAAGAATAAGATGTGCTTTGATTGAATATATATTGAATTCATGACATTTTTCAAACTGTGGCTGAAAACTGAAATACTGTATATAAAAAAAAACAGACAAAAGTAATAAAATACTGTAAATATTAGAGAAAACACAAGTAAACTAATATACAGTCAAAACTATTGGGAGTATAGGACATAGCCATACTGACCTCCTCCATCAATGCTGGCACAGAACAACACAGACCTTCCATCGTTTTTATAAGGTTTGCAGAATGATGGCTAATTGAAGATTTGTGTGAAGGAGTGTCAAATCGGTGCTTCAGTGATTTCACACTGATGTTGGTAGCTTTTCATAGTTAGGAATAGATGGATTCTGTTTGGTTACCAAAACTAAAACAATGGAGTTTGGACTGCTTGAATGACATCTGTGTTAACTGTTTGGAAAAATGGTAGGGAAAATGTATCAACCCAATGAGAAAGGGTTTACACATTTGCAAGACCGGTCTTCTGCTCTGCTGGGATAGTGATGAGGAAAATGAAGAGGAACCTAGTTTCTTTAACCAGGTCAAAGCAAACTAGAAAAACTGTAAATTGTTCAATTTAGAAGAAATGCTAAGGGAAAAAAATGTAAAAGTTTTTATAAAATTTGCTTGACAGATATAGACAAGTTCAGCTTTTGTTGTATGTAATGACTCAAGTAATGAAATGAGGACTATTAGTTTTATATGGAATGACTATTCAGCATTCACAAGTTTAGTTCATTTTGACTTACACGACATAGGCAAATGATAATGTTATAAACAGCAGAGAGTTGTATGAAAGCAATTGATGCATGTCCAAAAGCATTTGCATTTTGTAGGAAGGAATGGGAAACTGCTGCTATGATGTGCACAAATGACTAACTGTTTTAAGAAATGCATTAACTGTTGTGAAAATGTAAATAGTGTTGTGAGAAATGCACCAAAGCAACTGAGAAAATCTGTAACTATGAACAGAGGTTTACGAAAGATGAAAATATGTAGGTTGCTATTAATAATCAGAGGTTTGCAGATAGAAATGAACATAAAAATGTATAAGTGCAGTGGATACGTACAATTCAAAATAAAATATTTATATTATTTATGATGCATTTATGGTGACGCAGTGGTGCAATGGGTAGCTTAATTGCCTCATAGCAAGAAAGTCGCTGGTTCAAGCCTCGGCTAAGTCAGTTTACGTTTCTGTGTTGAGTTTACATATTCTCCCCGTGTTCGCGTGGGTTTCCTCTGGGTGCTCCGGTTTCCGCCACAGTCCAAAGACATGTGGTACAGGTGAATTGGGTAGGCTAAATTGTCCGTAGTGTGTGTGTATGGATGTTTCCTAGAGATGGGTTGCGGCTTTAAGGGACATCCGCTACATAAAAATGTGCTGGATAAGTTGGCAGTTCATTCCGCTGTGGTGACTGGATTAATAAAGGGACTAAGCCAAAAAGAAAATGAATGAATGAAACTTTTATGATAGAATTTTATATTATAAAACTGAAGTCAAAGGCAAAAAGAAAGGCAAAGGCAAAAAGAAGCAAAGTTTAAGTATGATCTACAAAAAAAAAAAAAACAGTGAATGTTGAAATGAGTGGTTCATTGAGTTCCACTTTGAAGCTTATATAAAAAAAGCATTGAAACCAGATAAATCTCAGATTATTATGCACACTGTTAAGGCAATCTATAATCATTATGCATTTAATTATTGTTTAAATTTGTCCTATGAAACTGGATATAATCCATATTATAATAAAACTACCTCAAAACAAAAACCATGATTGATAGAAAAGTCAAATAAAAAACAATGCTGCTGTTTAACTTTCTGAAACACTTAAAATGCATCAAAAAAGTCACAAGTAAAAGTCAAAAATGTGTTTCATGATTCAGTTAAATATAGCCGCCAAATGTGAGCGATATTTCATCATCTCTCTCTTTTTTTTCTTCTGGGCAAAGCACAGAAGCACATTAACCCGGAGCAGAACAAATAAAGATCACAGGATGCAAAGGGTGTATTAAATTAGCATCAGCCCATGCAGACGTCCTGGAAGATCTTCAGCAGCCGCATCTATCTCTATCACTGGCTCTCACTCATCAGTATTCCCTCACCGGCGAGCATCTCTGTTTGGGTGTCTCTCCTCCGGCTGATGTGGAGGACAGTGAACA